AAAAAAAAAAAAAAAATGACCTAGGTCACCAACCTTGATGATTGTTTTTTTTTTATTTTATTTTTTTAATCCCATGATCCAACACAAGAAATCATTGATAAAGATAATCTAAAAGTTCGAATACACCCCCTTATCTCAAGTGCAACCCTTGTTTATAATTTTTTTTTTTTGTTTTAATTGAGTTTTTAAATTTGAAAAAGTTAGTATGGTTATTTGTTAGTGGGTATATTAAAACAATTTTTAAAATAAAATAATTAAAATTAAATTGATGTAAAAGTAGGAGAGAGAAGATGTGATGTGATTGTTAGTTAAAATTATGTGAGTAGATGAATAGTAAATTAAGGTTGATGTTGTATGTAAGAATGATTGATTGATATTATTTAATTATATTGATAATATTAATGATAGTAGGTTGATTGATTGATATTATTTAATTATATTGATGATAGTGGGTTGAGTAAAATTGAAGGAGGCTCGACCTTTTCGTTTTGGAGTTAAAAAAATGATTGAATTTTTTTGGGAAAAACTTATAAACAAGCATCACCTAATACGGATTCGTAGTTCGGACATGAATTTATGATTTGATTTTGGTGTTTTTGCTGAGATATTGGATATTTATTAATTTAAAATATAAAATAAAAATATATATCGATGATGAAAGGACAAATAAAATAAAATATAAATTATAGTAACAACTTTGAAGTTTTTCCTAGAACTATGAGACATCCTTAACTACATTTCACATGAAAGTATGTGCAACATAACATGTACACATGTTTACGGTTCCTAACGCCGTGTAATTCGTGTAAGTTATTGAAAATTTTCTAATAGTACTGATATTTTATACTCTCTCCTATTTTTATTATTTGTCATTTTGGTTTAATAGATCATTAGTTAAATAAATGTCGTTTTGATTATTTTGTTTATATTTTTCCATTTTTAACCCTTTATCAATGCACAGTGTCTCTTCATATCCAATCTCTATAGTTTCCCATAACATCTATTAAATAGTATCAATATTGGCAAGAAAAAAATTCTTAATTAGCGTATTGCTTCTCAAAACGACAAATAATAACAATAGGAGAGAGTATAAATAAATTCTAATGCAATTTGATCTATTTAGTGTTCGACGAGACTCGGAAATAAAATTTTAATATATTTTTTTATAATTCGGCTCCTTAAAGCTCGAGGTCAGCTTGCTAATAGCCGAACTCGAGCTTGATTTCTGACTCGTTTATTTAACGAATCGAGCTTGATTCGGCTCGTTTAGGTATCGAGCTCGAGCTCATCTCGATTCGGCTCAACTTGTTTACATGCCTAAATAAATAGAATTCAAGAATATTATTATTATTATTATTATTAGCTACTTCCCCTAGTTGTATTAATATCATTTGGAAATAAAAAAGTTAAAATTTTTAATTTTAATTTTTTATTTTGTGCAGATTCATCGAATCAATCCTTTGAACTTTTCGAAACTAATTTTCAGTTTCTGGCCCAA